GTTGAGCTATAGGCGCCGAGCCCGAATTCAATTATTAATAAAAAAACCTCCCACATCCAGGACTTACATTTTATGTAATATATAGAAGTATATAATATATATTATATTTCTATTTATACACACAAACACACACACAGCCTTCTTGATCTTCCTTCAATGGATCAGGCACATTCCTACCTCAGGGCCTTTGTACTTGCTGCATCCTACTTGGCTCAACATCACTTGCTCAGAGATTCCTTCTCTGACAATTCTTTCCCCATCATTCTCTAACCCTCATCCTGCTTAATTTTTCTTTATAGTATATACTACTACAAAGGTATATCATTTCTTTGTCTACGCTTACCTTTCTCCTAGGATGTCTTTGTCTTTTGATCACCATTGCATTGCTAGGGACTACAACAGTACCCAGACTAGAATTATCTTTCATAAGTATTTTCTAAATGAATGAATAAAGCAAAGAACCTCAGACCATTCTTAGACACTATTAAAGCACTGAGCTATGGAATAGCAGCATAAATTATAACTCATAAATTACAACTCAATATACTAGCTAGGGGAAAACCTAATACAGTTATTTACCTGTTCCCAACACTGTGGTAAAAGTTCAGCTTCTACACGTGTTGGTCCAACATGACGTGCAAATGCCACACAACCTGTGAGAATCATTTGCCTGAAATATAACACAAAAAAATATATGTAAAGGCTTGTGTTTGTGTTAGAAAGCACAACAGCACAACTAGGAGGACTAAGGGTTAAAAAGCTTCATCTCTGTAATTTACATAAAGTACAATATTTTTGTGGAGTCAAATTACCTTTCTAACAGTGAACTAGGCTGCTAGCAAGAGAATGAATTCCTTAAGACCAGTCATTCAACCATTACAAGTGGTAACACCATTTGTGAAAGGTGTTGCTAAAGGATTTCTGTATAAGTACGAAGCTGATATAACTTTTAAAATTAATTTCCCACACATACATTCTGAGATCATAATATTCCCAAGGCTTCAGTTTCTAGCCACTAAAAGAACCAGTGATTATCCCTATAGTGTTTCTACAATTAAAAAATATGGTACCATATTAATAACATGTGGGATTTTTTTTCAAGAATAGGGTCTTACTTTGTTGCTCAGGCTAAACTACAGTGGGCCTCATAGCTCACTGCAATCTCAAACTCCTGGGCTCAAGGGTATCCTCCCGCCTCAGACTGCAAAGGAGCTGGGACAACAGGAATGCACTACCATACCTGGATAATTTTTGTATTTTTTGTAGAGATGTAGTCTCACTATGTTGCCCATGCTGGTCTTGAATTCCTCCTCTATCAACCCTCCTGGTTTGGCCTCCCAAAGTGCTAGAGTATAGATGTGAGTCACTGTGCCCAGCAGGTATTTTTAAAATCAGAAGTTTTAGTATTGTACCCAAGATTAGAACGACAAGTAGTTTCTGACGTGGCTCCAAAGATCCTGTCTCCTCATATTCTTGTCCTTGTGTAATCCTATCCCACTGAGTACAGGTCAGACCTAATGACTGCTTCTGATGGACAGAATATAGCCAAAATGATAGGATATCACTTCTGAGATTAGGTTACAAAGTCTGTGATGTCCATCTTTTTAGACTCTACTGCCTTCTCAACTTGCTTTATTTAAGCAAGCTGCCATGCTGGAGACACCCATGTGGCAAGGAATTAAAGGTGGTCTTTGGCCAAATGCCAGTGAGCAACTGAAGTCCTCAGTCTAACAATCCTTGAAGAATTGAATTCTAGCAATGACCAAACACATGACGGAGATTAAAAGCAAATCCTTCTTCAGTTGAGCCCTGAGATAGTCAGGGTTTAGCCAAACCTCTGACTACTGCCTGGTAAGAGACCCTAAAGCAGATGATCCAGATTCCTGACCCGGAAAAATTGTAAGATAAAAACATGTTATTTTAAATCACTTTCTTTCAGGCTACTTTGATATAGAACAATAGTTAACTAATAAATAGTATACTATTTTCTTTGAAATGATAGCTTTATAACTTTAAAATAGCATATAATTTAAAATATTTTTCACTCCACAGATTAAAATTCCATTTAAAATGACTTCAAAATGCAGAATCTAATGTTCTTCCATTTTTTATGTAACACTTTAAAACAATAAAACCCAAAAGGAAAAAAAGGCTATGCTTTTAATAGATGTTTTAAAGTAGCCAACTTTAAAGAAAACCAAAATAGAACGCTTATTTAATTCATACTAATTATAAAATCAGTGCTGTAAGCCTCTGCATTGCTCATTGCTATTTCTTTTTTTTTTATTAAATTATAAACACATAGATCATGTATACATTAATGCATTTATGGGGTACAATGTACTGATTTCATATAGAACTAGGAACGCTTACGTCACACTGGTTAATGTATACCTCATCTTGTTTATTTAATTGCTCATTGCTATTTCTTATGTCAATTTAAATTAACTGTAACATAATGACTTTAAATTTCTATTTGGTTTAGTCTGATTAGTTATTAATATTCTCTTATATTATTTGAGAAGAATAATGACAGAGATCTTTTGGACAACCCAGGGGCAACCGAGAGCCAATGTTGTCATTGCATGTTGATTCTGGCAGCTTCTCTTTACCACAAATCCTCCTATCATTTATCTACCTTATTTTCCTTTGTACCATCATCTTCTATGATTGGTATCTATTCTATGTCTGAAGTTCTCTTTTGCTTTTCTATTGCCTTTTATTTTAGGAGGGCAAATTAATTAAAATGAATAAAAGAAATATAGAAAAACAAATTAGCAAGTCTTCTAGCTAGCACTATAGCTATCTGTTCTCTAAGGAAAATTTCCTAGTATCTGATAATTTTTTTGCCCACCCGAAAGTATTAAAGTGAGATGACATATACTTTTGATAACTGTACTTAATGAATATTCTTAAAATTTAAGCATTTGAACACATAACAGGTACACACTTGTAAGAACTTCACATGAAATGACTTCAAATCATGAATCACCATCACTACAATATGTACAAACCTCAAAAGGGAAAAATGTTGGGTGTCTAAAAATAAACATCTTAGAGTTAATATTCGAAATTCTAGAAAATATGCCAGCTTTGAAATGCAGTCCAAAACAGAAAAGATCAAATGGTCTGTAGATTATTAACAGCATTAGAAAAAGGCTCCTATGATAGTAAAATAAATGTTCTTATTTGTGGGACTTTTGATTAGTAAAGGACACAGGTGGAAATATGGTATCAATTATAGTAGTTAGCAAAGAACTAGCAAAAATTACCATTATTGAGCATAAAATGAAATTTTTCTTGGGATATTACCAAAGAAGCCTTCAATTTATTAAGGAAAACAATAACTCTGCTTATATGTCAAATATGTTACACTAACTTTAATAATTCTGCTTTTTTTAACTTGTTATTTATATTACAGAGTTAATCAATTAATTAGTCTATTTTTATGAATAATTACATTTCTATAAAGTGAAGGTAGACATGGGCTGGGTACAGTGGCTCACACCTGAGATGGGAGGATTACTTGAGCTCAGGAGTTTGAGACCAGCCTGAGGAAGAGTGAAACCCTGTCTCTACTAAAAATAGAAAAATTAGCTGTGTCTGGTGTGCATAACTATAGTTCCAGCTACTCAGGAGGCTGAGGCAGAAGGACTGCTTGAAGCCTGGCATTTGCAGTTGCAGTGAGCTACGATGATGCCTAGGGGACAGAATGAGATGGTCTCAGAAAAAAAAAAAAAGTGAGTTTGATAAACACACAAATAAAACTTGAGTGTTTTAATTCCTGATGTAGCTTGACCTGAAGGCAGGTTGATAGGTGCATTTGGCCACCAGGTGGCAGCTATTAGCTTTACACACAAAGCTTATGAAAACTGCTCTTAAGACTAAAGAGGTTTTGCCTCACAAATCTAAAACTAAAAATGCAATAAATGGCATTTAACTATTAATTAAGTTACCAAGATAGGAAATGGTACTTTTCAAGGATAAGTAATACAGGGTTGCTATAAAGTTTGTGCACAATTTAAAATTGTAGTATACTACCACCAAATTGTTAGAAAATTTTCAGTTTTCATCGAATGGTACAAATGCAATGATTTAATTTCCCTTATTTGATTAGCACATGAGGCCGCTGGTGTCAAATCATAAACAATAATTCTATTGTTTTGTAAAGTACAAACAAAAATTGTTTTTAATTAAGATAAAAATTATAACATAAAAAATTCAAGGCTGGTGCGGTGGCTCATGCCTATAATCCTAGCACTCTCAGAGGCTGAGGCAAGTGGATTGCTTGAGCTCAGGAGTTCGAGACCAGCCTGAGCAACAGTAAGACCCTGTCTCTACTAAAAACAGAAAAACTGAGCCAGGAGGATAGCTTGAGCCCAAGAACTAGAAGTTGCTGTGAGCTATAATGCCATGGCACTCTAGTCGGCACCAGAGTGAGACTTTGTCTCAAAAAAACAAAACAAAATGAAAAAAAACAACTGACTTTCTTAATCTTGCTGGTTCTTAGTCTACCTACTCACCCACTGGTTTTATTCAAGTCCTTACTTGTACAGCTTCTCTCAATATTTTTAAATGTTCAACTCTGTGCAGGTAAATATCTACTGCCGCTTGAGTAAAATCCATTTGCCTTTTTTCTGATGTGTAACCCCGATCTGTGGATGTCCCTCTCACTACTCTTAGGAATAAGTAATTTCTCTACTTAGGAATATTTGGTTGAGAGCATTTGACTCAGGTTTAACCCAAACAACACACTGTACCCCTCGGGCCACATGATAATGATTCACTGATAACACAGTGACATAAAAATTAGTATTAATTTATTAATTAATATGTTAAATATGTTAAATATCTTACAAAGCATAACCATTAAGAAGCAATATATATCTAGTTCATCTGTGAGACACATTTAGGAGAATCAAGCATAAAAAAAAAAAGCTAAGGAATAACTGAATTAGAAGTCCAAAAGTAACTAATACAAAAGTGTGTGAATTCAACATGAATAATTGGAATAAGATGAATGAAAAATACTGCAGAATACTGTAAATGAGGTCACTGTTCTCTTTGCTTGTTAGAAAAATTCAGGGAACATTTCCTCCATCAATTTATATATAACTTCAAACTTCAAAGACTTTCATAACTTTAATTATGAAACTGAGATTTAACTGTTAAGGTACTGACTGGAATCAACTTTCTGAGGATTATTAATAAAATGACTTGAAGAAAACATGTGGCAAAGTTAATGAAAATGACATGATAAGAGAAAAATTTAAAGGGTTGAAGCAAAGTTTACAGAGAAGAAACCAAAAGCTTTATACATACATTTTGTGAACTTTTACTCAATAAAGCAGTAATTAATACCAAAACGCTTTCAAGGTTGAGGATCTATTGATATAACTATTCATGCCATGTACAAAGGTATTGGCAGTTTTTCAAAACATTTTATGGAAAAGTCAAGGTATAATATTGCAGGAATGTATACATATATATACTTTGTCCATCACCATGTATTTAAGCTATAGTTAAATCGTATTTGGAAACTAGTGAAAACATAGAAGTTTGGGCAAATAATTCTTTACTCCTACAAGTGGCCAATGAATATAATGGTTTACTAATATTTAAAATTTTCACTTACATTACAACATGGATTCAATTTTCAGTAGTGTCAATTCTATTATTTTGTCTTTAATGTAAATTTTGAAATATTGCATATTTTAATTTTTTTCCTGGTGATATCTTCCTTTACTCCAGAAAATCTTTTTCTTCTATGGTTACCTTTCTTTTGTTTTGTAAAAATCATTAATTTTTGTCTCTGTTTTAGGATTAAAAAAAGTTTCTTTGGTTTTTATAATAAATCATTTTTCAAGATATACCTTTATTCTAAATTTTTAGAATAATTGCTATTTTCATTATGCAGTGTAATTTTTATAGGGCTCCTGGTTTTCTATGGACTAATCAAGAAATTGATCCAAAAGTACTTTCCTCAAAGTGGAAACTATAAGGGGCTTAGATTGGTCTTTGTAATTTACTTTCATTCAATGATATTAGAGTAAGAAAAAAATTTTCCAGGCCCTTCACATGGTTGATTAGAGTTAACTTTGTTTCCGATAAATGTTTAATGTTTCTATCTTAGGTTTTTTGTTTTTTTTTTAATACCTTTTTTATGTCTTCCTAGCAAATTCCAAGTTGGGAAGGAAACATCAAGAATTGTTGACCTATCATCACCTTGAACCAGAAGTGGAGAATCTCATTATGAGGTAAACCTTAAGTAGCTGAGAAGCTATCAAAGTTTTATTTTGAGTCTTTACAGATGTTAGAACTCATTAAAAACAATACTGAGTACATAAGATGAGGTCAGGCTTCTCCAAAGAACCTGTTTTCCCTGAGGGAGGTTAGGGACATTGGAATGCCTAAGAGGTCACTAGGTATGCTGAATTTTCTGCTATGCCACCTACTACATGCCCTGTTGCATCTGGAGGGCAGAGGGAGTGTTACCAAATGTATGACTTACCTATACCACCTGGGAGGTCCCTATTAACATTCTCATACAGTTTGCTCCCTCCTGCTATTTATCTAAGGGTTTGGTTATAACCTAATCACTAATTATCACAGAACTACCAGAAATCAGAAAAGTGTATTAATAGAAGATAGACTTTTTAGGTCAAAAATAATAATCTTGTAATTTCCAGAAGAGAATATTTATGTTTTTTTTAAAGAAATAAAGTTCACTAAAATTTAATTTTTTTTTTTTTGAGACAGAGTCTCACTGTTGCCTAGGCTAGAGTGCAGTGCTGCCAGCCTAGCTCACAGCAACCTCAAACTCCTGGGCTTAAGCAATCTTCCTGTCTCAGCCTCCAAGTTGCTAGAACTTCAGGAGCCTACAATGCCCAGCAAATGTTTCTATTTCAGTAGAGACAGGGTCTCACTCTTGCTCAGGCTGGTCTGTGATCCCCCTGCCTTGGCCTCCCAAAGTGTTAGGATTGCAGGTATTACACCCAGCCTAAAATTTAATATAAATTTTTTTTTTTTTTGGAGACAGATTCTTATTATGTTGCCCTGGGTGAGACTGTGGCGTCATAGCTCACAGCAACCTCCAACTCTCGGGCTTAAGCAATTCTCTTGCCTCAGCCTCCCAGGTACCTGGGACTACAGGTGTCCACCACAATGCCCAGCTATTTTTTGGTTGTAGTTGTCATTGTAGTTTGGTAGGCCCAGGCTGGATTCAAACCCACCAGCTCTGGCGCATGTGGCAAGAGCCCTGGTTACTGAGCTGCAGGCGCCGAGCCAATTTAATATAATTTTAATGTGAGTTAGTTCCTCAAAAACACAGGATAATTTAGATAATGCCCTTCAGTACCTCTGTCTAGTAACCTTAAGAAACTATTAACATTTTGAGAAGAAGGGATAGAATCCCCTTCCAAAGATTTAAAAGATGAGAACTATCAGTAATCATAGCAGATAATATAAATACTCTGATTTTAGTAGGAGATACATACATTTTTAAAAGGATTTTTATTTTAGATTTTATTTATTATGCATTGGTTAAATTTCCCAGAGTGATTTCCCTATTGTCTGTAGTATTCCCTATTTCTTGCAGTAAATTCCAGGACCTCTTAAAAAAGAAGGCTGGGAGGAAAGGGACCTTGATGACAACACTGTACTTTGAAATGCAGATCTTGCTGGTGGAAAGTACCAGTACTACTGACAGATATTTGGAAGAACAGAAAACATGCATGTGTTGATTAAAACACTAATCTTGATGTTAATTAGTGAAGTTAACATCAACAATGCATTTATTTCCCAAAGAAGTAGTCAGACTCACCTTTGCTCGTCATCTGGCCTCTTGATCAAATTGAAAAGTATGTGGAGAAGTTGATCTCTTTCTTTAGGCTCAGGATGTAGACATGCTGTACACAATATGAGGGGGATCAACTCCTAAAGAAATAGGAGGGTGGAAAAATTCAAGATAAAAATACATTGTAGAATATTCTTTTCCCTTCCCAAAATATTCTTTTAAATGGGCAAAGTGAACTAAACCTCAATATACGTGAGAGCAAATTTTAATTCTGTAAGATTGGTAATTTAAGAGAAAACACTAAAAGAATTACAATATTTATGTGTTGGTTGTGCAGAAGGTGTAAATCACAATGTAATAAAAGCTGTTTAAGAGTCAACTAACCTTGTTTTTGTATCCAGTACTTCCCAAAGGTCCACTAGCTTTTATTCTACATAACATTTCAACAAGTGACAGGCTGACATTGTAATATTAATTTTGGAAGTGTTTTTAAACAAAACTTGGAGAAGTTCACTATATTTAAAAACTTAAAAACACAACAGAAAATAAAGACACTTCCTGTTTTTCGCAAGCACAATAATATCTTTCTTAAGATTAGATATAGTCTAAAAATTCTGTACCCTTAGCACTTAATCTAGTGGCCAATTAAAAAGATCATTACTACAGGTGTTTTATCTTCTCAGTATTACTACAGAGTATCAGCGGAAATATTTGATGTGGAAATGTAAATTGTTAAGTGTATGGTTTGTTACACATTCAACACACAGAAGAAAATTCAACATTCTGCAAGAAATAGACAAAAATTGATTTCTCTCTTCCTAGGAAATTTTTGTTTCATATTTTAATTGAATCATTTTAATTAAATATATTTCTAAATTAAATATATTTTGACACTAAAATAAATTAAAAATAAATTAATGTTTTTCATATTGGAATAGATTTTCAAATCTAAGGAGAATAAAAGTACAAAAATGACATATTTTTCACAAGAAATCTTCTAAGTTAAAAAAATATTTTGCAGATATATTAAAGAAATCACTGTGATATAATAATTACCTCCATTTCTCTTTCTCTCTTTTCATCTACCTTAGTATCCACCAAAAATGAAAAAATATTTAAAATAGGAATTGATCACTACATAATAATGGATGATTATTATTGCCTCTGATAATATAACCTAAAAAAAAAATAATGTAACTGGAAGAAAAGCACAATAAGAAGTCTATTGCAGAAGTATTTTTCCAATTGGAGAATGTGACATTAGAAAGAGATGGTATGATTTGGTGAGTAGTTGATACTAAAATTTGAAGGTACTGTAAGTCCCTTTCTATTATTTCTAAAGTCTTTATAGGATGTTATCTTAAAATCATAATTATGTTGTATAAATCTTAAATTTGAAGGTACCAAGATGAAGCTAGGAATAAATCTGTAAGTAAAGAATAACTTAAAATATTCCTTCTCTCATTTTCAATCTTCCTATTGGGCACTACTATCAATTTTAGATTAGTGAATAACTGAAAAGTTGAATAAAAAATAATTAGGGAATATAATTTTGCTCTGGGAATGGAAGAGTGTGTATATACAGATCCTATATTGTTAACTAATGTATTTATCAGAGTCTTAAAATGATGCTTGATGGATCAGTTCTGATTTTATAAAAGAAAATAAGCCACTTTTAATAAAATACTAAATAGTCTGCCTGACTTGGAAGTGTAACAATATTATGATATAAGATTATTAATACCAAGGACTGTTCTAATCCTTAATTGATTCTATTTAGGCTGCTGGGAGCTAGCTAGAGGACAAAGACATTGCATCATCAAGGTATCCTACTGAGAATAGAAATTTAATAATAAAAAGTAGTAATTCAGGAAGCACTAATAAAAGGGGAATCTATTCTCATGTCTGAAAACCACGAAGACCCTACAAATTTTATTTGGACTTTCTCTTCCCATCCTATCTTTCTCTCCCAAAGGTTTTCTTGCTACCTTCTAATCCCTGCTTCCTCTTTTCCCACTGTCTCTACCTGTATACTTCTTACATTACCCTCCCACACACTCTCCCTAGTGTATTACTCTTTAAAGAAAAAGTTATACCCAATAGGAAAAAAATCAAATAATCCAATTAAAAATGGAAAAAGGATCCAAATAGACATTTCTCCAAAAAAGACATCGAGATGGCCATTATTAGTCATTAGAGAAATGTAAATCAAAAACTACAATGAGATATCATCTCACCCCAGTTAAAATTGCTTTCTTCAAAAAAGACAGGCAAGAATGTGGAGAAAAAGAAACTCATGTATGCTGTTTGGGGGAATCTAAGTTAGTGCAGATACTATGGAGATCAGTAAGGAGGTTCCCCAAAAAACTAAAAATAGAACTACTATGTAAACCAGCAATCCTGCTGTTGGGTATATACTCAGAGGAAGGGAATTCAGTATAATGAAAAGATACCTGTATGTACTTGTTTGTTGTGATACTACTACTCAAGATAGCTAATATGTGGAATCAATCTGTAATCTAGCACTCTGGGAGGTTGAGGTGGGTAGATTGTTTGAGCTCAGGAGATCAAGATCAGCCTGAGCAAGAACAGGAGCCCATCTCTACTAAAAATGGAAAAACTAGCCGGGCATAGTGGTACATCTGTAGTCCCAGCTATTCAGGAAGGTGAGGCAAGAAGATTCTTCAATCCTAAGAGTTTGAACTTTCTTTGAGCTATGATGCTATAGCACTTTATCCAGGGTGAAACACTGAGACTCTCTCTCAAAAAAAAAAAAAAAAAAAAAGAAAAGAAAAGAAAAGAAAAAGAAACGGCTTGGCACCCTTTGCTCTTTGCTCAGTGGTTAGGGCGTTAGACACATACAGTTAGGGTGCTGGACACATACACGGGGGCTGGTGGGTTTGAACCCAGCCCAGGCCTAGTAAACAACAAGGACAACTGCAACAACAACAACAGCATAAAAAAAAAAAAGTAACTGGGCATTCTGGCAGGCACCTGTAGTCGCAGCTAATTGGGAGGCCGAGGCAAGAGAATCGCTTAAGCCCAAGAGTTTGAGGTTGCTGTAAGCTGTGATACCACAGCACTCTACCAAGGGTAATATAGTGAGACTCGGTCTCAAAAAAAAGAAAGAAAGAAATTTTGTGGTACACATACACCATTAAATATCACATAGCCACAAGTAATGAAATTCTGCCATTTGCAACAACATGGATGGAACCAGAGATCATTATGTCAAGTGAAAAAAGCAAAGCACAGAAAGACAAATCTCACATATTCTCATTTATATGTGGGAGCTTAATATTAAAAATAATTGATTTTATGGAGACAGAGAGTGGAAAGATAGTTACCAGAGGTTGGGAAGGGTAGCAGGGGAGGGGAAGATAAAGTAGGGATGATTAATGGGTTAAAAATACATAGTTAAGAGAGAATGAATGATATTTGATAGCATGACAAACTGACTATAATCAATAAGTTACAGTACATGTTAAAATAATTAAAAGAATAAAACTGGAATGTCCCTAACGCAAAGAAATGATAAATGCCAAAGGCAGTGGATATCCTAATTACTCTGATTTGATTAGTTTGCATTGCATACCTGTAATGAAACATCACATATATCCTATAAAGATATATAACTATTATGTACCCATGTAATTAGAATACAGATAGTTATTAAGGTAAGGTATGTGCTACAGTTGCAAACATTTAAAATATGTTCTCAAGTGCACAGGGAACAGTCTCCAGGACAGACCATATGTTAGGCCACAGACAGTGCTTAGAAAATTTAAAAAGATCAAAATCAAAGTTTCTTCTCTTTGACTACAATGGAATGAAATTAAAAAACAATAATACAAGGAAAAACATAAATTTCAAAGATATGTGGCTTTTAAATAACACACTCTTAAATAACCAATGGGTCAAAGAAATCACTAAGAAAATTAAAAAACACATTGAAATGAATAAAAATGAAAACACAACATACCAAAATTGAGATGCTGCAAAAGAAATACGCAGAGGGAAATTTATAAGCTGTAAATGCATACATAAAAAAAGAAAAAGATCTCAAGTCAACAATTTTGCTTTTTATCTTATAGTACTACAGAGAGATCAAACTAAATCCATGGCCAGCAGAAGAAAGAAAACAATAAAGATTAGGGTGGAGATAAATGAAACATAGGCTAAAAAATCATAAAGAGATTAATAAAATCAAAGTTTGTTCTTAAAAAGATCAACAAAATCAAATGACACAATTTAGCCGGATTGACTTAAAAAATAAGAGAGAAGATGCAAATAACTAGAATTAGAAATGAAAGCACAAATGTTAGTACCAACCTTAAGAAATTAAAGGAATTATAAGGGAATACTATAAATAATTGTTTGTCAACAAATCAAATAAGCAAGATGAAATGAACTGATTCCTAGATCATATGAATTACTAAAACTAAGGAAGGAGAAAATCTCAACATAAAAAAAATCAACATAAAACAAGTAGAGACTGAATCAGTAATCAAAGATTTCCCAACAAAGAAAAGTCTAGGACCAAATGGCTTCAATGGTAAATTCTAAAAATCTTTTAAAGAATTAACACCAATTCTACTTAAACAAATTCAAAACACAGATAAGGAGGAAAGAGCTCTGTCACACTCTATAAAGCCAGCCTTAACCTGATAGGAAAAACCAGACAAAGAACTATAAGACAATAAAACTATAGAATAGTATACCTTATGAATGACACAAAAAAGCTCAATAAAATAGTAAAACCCCATCCAAAAGCACATTAAAAAGATTACAAATCAAGACAAAGTGCAATATAACCCCGAATGTAAGGGTAGTTCAACGTAAAATCAGGCAATGTAATACAGGTAATACCACATTAATAGAATGAAGGGAAAAAATTAAGTTATCATATCAACAGATGGAGGAAAAGCACATGACAAAACTTAATGTCCTTTCATGCTAAGAACACTTAGCAAACAAGGAATCAAAGAAAACTTCCTTCTCATGATAAAAGGCATTTATAAAAACCCTATCGCTAACATCAGTTAATGGTAAAAGACTGAAAGCTTTCTCCTAAGATTAGAAATAAGGCAAGGATATCTGATTTCTCAAAACACTGCTATGCAACATTGTATTGGAAGTCCTAGCCAAAGCAAGTAAGCAAGGAGTAAAAAACAAAAGCTATCCAAATTCATACAGAAGAAACAAACCTATCTCTATTTGGAGATGACACGATTCTATATATTAACTTTTGACAAAAGTGGCAAGACCATTCAATAGGGAAAATTTTTTCTCTTAAATAAATGTTGCTATGTAACTGGATAGCCACATGAAAAGTGAAGTAAGACCCTACTTCATTCAGTATATAAAAATTAACTCAACTTAGATCAATGACCTAAATATACTGAAAAACCCCATAAGTAGTTTCAAAGCTTTAACTTATGTATATACAGCCCAGACATCAGATTTAGCAATACGTTCTTAAATTTGACACCAAAAGCACAAGCATCAAATAAATAAATAAATGAATCAGAAAACTGAAAAGCATTTGTCCATCAAAGGATATTATCAAGAATGTAAAAAGACAACCTACAGGATGAAAGAAAATATTTGCAAATTATATATGTAATAAATATCCAGAACATATAAATGCTAAACCATGTGAACTTACTACTTAATCAAAACCTTTAAGCCCTGCTTCTAATGTTTTATTTATTTAATCAGCTAAGATATTGCTATGACTGAAGTTTACTGAGGAACATTATAATTGTAATTATATGTCAACAAAGAGGCTTATGCTGACAAGAGAATGTATTAAAAAAATCAAAAAATTAAAAAAGGTAAAAATATTAATCCTTCAATCACAAGAGCAAGCTTTTTAAAAATACAGAAATAAGGAACGGGGTGAAATATTTAAAAGTAATTCAATATCAAAGATGTAATGAGGCTCGGCGCCTGTGGCTCAAGCGGCTAAGGCGCCAGCCACGTACACCTAAGGTGGTGGGTTCGAATCCCCAGCCCAGGCCCGCCAAACAACAATGATGGCTGCAACCAAAAAATAGCCGGGCGTTGTGGCGGGCGCCTGTGGTCCCAGCTACTTGGGAGGCGGAGGCAGGAGACTCGCTTGAGCCCAGGAGTTGGAGGTTGCTGTGAGCTGTAATACCATGGCATTCTACCCAGGGGGACAGCTTGAGGCTCCGTCTCAAAAAAAAAAAAAAAAGAGGTAATGAAAAAAATGTTCTTTTGGGCCCAGAAATTGGTTTTAAACCAAGCTAAGATATATTTCATTATTTATCAATTTAATTGAGGGAAAACAACTTTGTTTTATTATACATGGTTGATTTTCTGATAAAATAGAACAATGTACAAATAGTAAAGATAAATAATCATTTCTGCATGAAACGGATATGTAATTTTTAAATATGAAAAATTTAAAATCAGCCAGAAAAGTAAGCATCATACCACAAATTATATATGTGCATGTGTGTATATAAATGTATCTATATATAATGTATCTGATTACTGATGATGCAAAAAATTATAAATATTTCATGCAGTACAATCAGATTTCAGTGGCAGAGTCTTTTATGACAATATGGAAAATTAAAATAAAAAAGCTCAAAGTGCATCTCATAATCATCAGGTTTCTGTGACACTTTGAAGATCATATTAAGGAAATATATAGTAAGAGGGATGCAAACATTAACACACTACATGGATTATGTTACAAGCTAAAAAAGGAGAAGAAGCTCAAACACCATTCTGCCAGGCAGAACTGCAGAACAATCTGAAATTGGACACTGATCCTTCAAGACACAGAAGCTTTCCATACTTATCAATATCTTACAACTATTTTTTAAATAATTAGGTAAAAATAAAACCATCAGCAGGCAAAGAGTCTTTTTAATTTAAAATACTTCTAGGGAAAAAACATCTTTAAAGTTCTACATATTTTCTTGAGGATCAGTACAAATTTCTTATGCTAAATGGATAATTAAGGTGGGGTAAGCTTTAAATGGGTTTTGCCAATGCATTATGTACTTATCATACTGTAGGTCCCACAAATTATGAGTAAAATCAGTGGTAAATATTAAGAAGGTAATAGTAAAAACTTATATGGTACACTCTTTATCCATTTTTTATAAAAACATTTTTGTGAACTAGAAATTTATCTCATAAACAGAATAATTCTAATGTAATTTAACTTATTTGCAAATAAATTATCCATTGTCATTTAAATTACATTACAGATAACTTTTCTTTAGCTTTTCATCGGCTAACTGTAACTATATTTAATAATTTATGAATATATAAAAATAGCTTCCTATAGTGTTTATGGCTCATAACATAGGCTTTGTGGACTAAATACATTTGCAACTGACTTTGGATATTTAAAGCATTTGCCAGTAACAAGTTAATTATAACAAAAATAAAAAAGGTATTTGTACAAGTTATTATATTCAATATAATGCCTAACCTATCATTATAAGTGTAATGTATGGCCAAACAAACAGAATAAGACTAACATTTATAATAGGCAACTATAGCAGTACATTAAAAAGTTACATAATTAGTCCCTGTTAATTTTCAATACAAAGAATGTCCATTCCTGTAGACATATCAAGCATATCACAGCAAGGATAGAGATAAGTTAGTTAACTGGTAATATGAAAACCAGACAGTATTCATAACATATCAATGGACCTACAGTAATAGTCAGTGCTGCACAAGCTAACAATGCTTTAAGCAAAATTGGAAAAACATGAATACCATGCAGTTTTACTGAACTCACCTGACAGAGGTGTAAAACCATTCTCTAGGAGCAGAGATGCATGCACAAAAGTAAGAATATGATTGCAAGTAATAGACTTTAACAAAATAAAAATATATCACTAAACTTCAAAATGACAAAAAATGGACAACATGATGATATTATTAAGATGAAAATATTTTTATGTGTCTTACCTCTCTCTTTGCCAATAGCACATTAGGAACAATATGTGGCAGGCAGCGTCCCAGCATTAACATAACACTTTTCTCACTGTCTGCAATCCGAGACACCTAGAAAACCAAAGATCTAATAAACAACAATAGTGGAGAACTTCTGTGCATGATGGTATGTAATGGTTCAGGCTAGACCCTGCCATCCCTGCTCCAAACACACATTCTAATATTATACCTTATGATATAATGATAAGATATGATAAGAACAACAGTGTCTCAAAGAGCATCAACATTTCTGGGGTCCAGAAATGGATTCAAAATAACAATAAAAAACAAGGGTGAAATCAGGGAGGCTAACCAGGTTTCTGTTCTGGGAACATGTAGGAATGGCACAGAATTAGGGCAGCCTCAATGTTTATTTTTGTTTTAGAAAAAGATACCCACAGAGCTGTGACCACTGCCTAAGGTGAGAGTTTGGACAACAAAGTTGCATATAAGGGGATGATACACAGATGCTCACCCAGTCTTAAACTAAGGATTGTCAAAGTACATCAAACCACCATGGGGCAATGCCCATGGGAGGTCAAGTGGAATCAACCAACAAAACAGCTAGAAAGAGAGGAATGAGAAGAAAGGCAAAAGGAAAAAAATAAGCAAATACCCTTGCAAGATGAGTCTACAATAATAATTACAAAATAGTTGAGGAGAACAAACATAAATGTTCACAATATCGACCACTGAAGACAACCACTACTAATGAAGTGAAAATAATGGCATAAACTAAAAATATCACTGATGTGAACAGTATATATCAGGAGTTGGTCTTCAGTATTATAAACAAGAGATGTTATCATAAACATAACATTAAAAACAGAGATTAAAAAGGTTACTTTAATGTTAATAAACAAAGCTTTAATCCAAAGAACAGAAATAACCAACTACCTTTAAACTTAAAAGTTTAAAATTTTAAGAACTATTTCTTAGAGCATTAATTTAAATAATAGACTTGCATTTGAAATGGGCTTACCACCAGTGCTTTTGTAAGAGACACTAATAAGAAAAACAGCAGAATGTTTTAAGAAAGTTATAAGAATAGCTGGTGTAATTTACCTCTGATCCTAAACGACTATCTGCTGACATTCGACAAAAAGAGAGTAATGCTTGGTGGAAAGCAGGAGACAATTTCCTAAAAAATATTGGATGAAAGGAAACAATACCAAAGAATTACCACTGACATTTAAGGAGAAAGTTAAGCTGCATATTATAATTCTCATTCGTACATTAATCCTACCCCACAAATGCTAACCAGATTTCTTAGCCATCATTGACTTAAAGAACACTTCACTGGAGAATTATATAGGAGAAAAAAAAAATCAACCAGAACTGGTGATCATCTTGCTGTAGCTTGAATGAATGGCCCTTGAATGTTAGTGGACCAAACTTGAAGTGATACAGTAGTAAATCAAAGACTGTGTCAAGTATTTATAAAATCTGAAATGAGAACTTTTCTCATCCCAACTCCCTGGAGTTCCAAAAAAAGGTAAACAAGGTAAACCGGATACAAAGGTTAACTTGGTATATTACAGAGAAGAATTAAAGTTCTGAAGATACAGGTAATGCTAATGATAAACCTTAATATTGTAAACCCAAGTAAAAGTAGTAAAATTTGAAGTTTAGTGAAGGAGAGCTTCAGTCAATATTCATGGTATATTTTCAAGCTTTTTTTGCAGTTGAAGATTTTGTGCTATTTATGTTTAATAAAGGAGGTTAAACATTGAATATTTCTAAAACAACACTGTGTTCTATGTAGTGGTATTCATAAAATTATGACCATGAGTTGTACTTTATGTGCTCAACCTACACAGAAAAGGCTAACCTAAAAATTACATAATAAAGCTTATTTAGTACACACCACAAACAGGCACTAAGGAATTTCTCTAATTATAGAGCAGTGTGCCAAAGCTTGAGCTTTTTTGCTCTTTTAAGCTCCTACATTCTCTCAGTGGAGGAGGCCTTAATCCATCCCCTTGACAAAGTAGGAAACCTCAAATCAGCATGGATCCTTCCCTATCTTTTCACCTGAAATCCAATCAATATTTTAACTTCTAATCATCTTGTAAATCTATCCAGTTATTTTGATTCCCTTTGCCAATCCTCCAATGATTTTGATCATTTCTTACATGGATTCTTCCAACATACTGTACATACTATCAGTTCCCTTTCCTCAAACTTGCCACCTTCCAAATACCTTCACCTTCTAGGACTCTATTACTTAGATACTGTCATGTTTCAACTGTCTAAAATGAGTCAACACAGGCTTTTATGACTTAGCGTTTACTTAATTCTCCATCTTCATCTCCTGTCACTCCTTTCACTTGCATTCTTTGCTTAAACCTTAGTAAATCCTTCTTGGTTCCACTAAAGCCCTGTGTTCTTTTTGCACATGCTGCTTTCCCTTAGTGGGAACACTCTTCCTCTTAACTTTTGCCTAATTGACTCTTACTTAGTTTTTAAGTCTGAGATTAGATGATACTTTTTACATAAAACCTTTCCTGCTAGGTTAGGTGCCTTGTTTATGTGTTCCCAAAGTAAGCCAAACCTCTCTTACACTTCTACTTTTCATATGATAGTGTAATTGCTTGATTGTTTTTCTCATACTAAAAGATTTTTCACTGAAGAAATTCTCTTATGTCTTGCTTACCATTATAATCCTTTTAACACTGCCTGGTACATACTAAGAGCTAAACAAATTAGTTGCACAAATTTATATCATCTATCTCTCTAGGGTGGCATTGGAGTATCAAGGAGATAC